TGTTTATATAATTAAAATCATTGTTAAATATGTCAGTGCATTATTATATTATATTATATTATATTATATTATATTATATTATCACTACATACATCTAATGCATATTCCTTGTCTTATGGAGAATGTTTTCTCAGTGCAAATTATATTTAAAAAAAGTTTAATAAAAATATTTTTTAAAATCTTAATAATATTAACATTTGTATTAAAATAAATATTAAATAAATACATATTACATTTTAAAATAAATTATATTAAATGAAAAAAAAAACATTTTAATAAATATATACATATATTAAAATATTAAAATAAACAAATAAAAAAATATTTCACAAAAAATTAACTTGCTCCTCCTCTGAAACTACTTTCCTTTTCAAATGACATCAGCAGTATTTTTAACCTGTCATATAAAGACCATTTTTCACAATCATTCCCAATGAATAAAAGTCTCATTCTATTTTTTTTTTTTCGAGTTTATATGTAGTGGGAAAATATGTTTCACTCTGAAATATGTCACATTATGAAAGCAAAATGGGTTGTGAATGCTGTTGAATTTAAACAGGTTTTTAAATGAACAGGTTTATCAATTGTTCCTTCTATACTTCACCTAAACCATGACACGCATTATTCATTAAAATCTTCATAACTTGATCTTTATATAATTAAAACATGTTTTGTCACATGAAAGCTCAAGCGCCCTGCGTTCGGGGGTCAAATGTCTCATTTACTTCATTCCAGTGTGGAAGAAAAGGACAAGGTTCTGTTTACACAGCGTTCAAGAAAAGCCTCGAGAAGATACTGAGAGCCGGCTGATGTGGCGCAAGCTTTCTAGCTGACCCATTTTAAGCCAATTAGTGCTTTATATTGATTAAATGTCAGTGATAACAGCCCTTCCAGTGAGCACAGATTATAACAGCTGTGATAGTTCCTGACAATGCGGTGGTTTGCCTGCTGAAAGAATGAATACAAACCACACTGACCCACGGTTTTCACTGTAATTTACATCTTTACATCAGCAAAACCATCTCACAATATACAGTCACCTTTGCCCAAGAAATGCTGCACAAAGGAAAGGGTTATTTTTCTCCGCTTAGCGTCAGGAAATGAGATTGAGCGGATTGAATCAGGTGCTTAAACAAATCCCAGCCTCTTTCTGAATGCGCCTGTGAATGCGGAGTGATAACATACTTGTTGAATTGCTCGGCGAAGATGAGGTTGGTGGAGGTGCCGGTGATGGTGATGAGGCCGCCGATGGTGGCTGCGTACGTGATGCTCAGAGACAGGCACTTGCAGATCATGTGGTCTCTATTGGTGGGGTACTGCGAATCCCGCCGGATTTGGGGTTTCTTTGGTGGAGCAGGGATGCTAATTGGAGCCTGTTTGGGAACAAGTAATGATTTTAAAAATCAAAGAAGCCCAATCTGCAGAGTTATTGTCAGCTAACTGAAGGTCTCACCTCTGGCAGGTATCCATTTGATTCTTTAGAAAATTCTGGACCGAAACCAGGCTTTAATGTCAGACCATTCAACTCCTAGAGTATGAAAAACACATTTCTGTCATGACAACTCTCAGAGGGATACATGACAATGTTAATGTATTTGGTCTTGGCGGAATAGGTACCGAGACTTGCTACTGCCAATACATCTACAACATGCTGCTGTGAGCATGTAAGAAATACTGCTGCTGCAAATATAGCATACATGAAATAACCCCCATATAGCATACATGAATCACCTCGTAGCAGATCTATACAGGTGGAGCTGGGGAAGGTGGAGGGTTTCTGAAGCAAGCTGAACCAGCTACAACAATCACTAGTCATATATTTGAATGATTTCTCCGATCACAAATGCAGCCATGGTTTTATGTTTACGCGGCGCGGCGCAACGCAACGCGTAAAACAACAGTATAAGTCATTATAATCAGTAATTATGTCCCCATTGGATGCAACAAATGCCTCGTTTATAATGGGTTTTCATGTTTTTGTCTCGTCGCTCCGGCCGGACACGGCATCGACAGTATGGTGAGGGGCGTAACATTTCCGTCACACGCTTGAGGTATTCGGTCAATCACAACGCACTGGATAGCTGGCTAATCAGAGCACACCTCGCTTTTCAGACCGATTAGTTTTGTAAAAATCGACGCGTTTCAAAAAGGCGGGGCATAGAGGAGAAACAATAATGTACAGTATGTGGAAAATAATGTGTTTTTTTTTTACTTTAAACCGCATAAACACATTTCATTACACCAAATACACAAAATAATGTTCTTTTTAGCAGCATCATATGACCCCTTTAAACAAATGGCATTAAAGTGTGTTCTTGAGCCATATCTTTTTAAATGTTCCTAAAATAAGATGTATTTACCTGGGAATCAGTCAAGAATGGCTTGACTTGTTTTCAGACAATGTACCTAAAAAATCTTATTTAGATAAATAATCTTGAAAAATGATATATTTTTGAGTGACATCAACACTGAAATTTAAAAGGTGACATAGATCATATTAATCAACTGATTGCATGAATCATGCAATTTACTCTTTTTTGAAAAATATAAATACATTATATTTAATGACAGTAAGCATGTTCTCTGTGTTATTTGTACATTCATATAACTTATAATTACATAAATCATTTAAATAAATAATTTCAAGGCAGTGTTATTGTAGTCATACTGTCATAGTTATTGTTAATATTTTTAATTAGATTTTATTTGTATATTTTCTGTGAATTTTAATTTAAGTTTTAGTAGTTTTTCTTTAAATATGTCAATATAACTTTTATTTACTTTTTATTTCAGTTTTAGTTTGAATGATTTTAGTTCATCAAGTTAAACTAAACGAAAATGAGTAATTTGTATTATATTTTATTTCAGTTAACATTTATTTTATTTCAAGTAACGAAAATGTTTTTTATGGCTTTAGTTTTAGTGCACTATAATAAACATTATAAATACATTTAAATTATAATTATACGTTTTATTTTATTTTAAGTTTTTTTTAAGCATAAACCCCCCCTTTATTTCTTGTTTACTTTCTAATTTCTAACAGCCATAATTTTGCAGTGTCAATAAACAATTTTGTCTTACCTCATTCAGCATACAGACTTCATGTTTTTCACTGCAAAACAAAGAAAAACTTCAATGAATAAGCTTGTTTAACAGATGTAGTTCAATACAGTTGACTGTATCCAGACACTTCGGCTCACTTGTGTTTGCGGTCCAGCAGCTCAAGGTGATTCTTGCTTGGTTCTTGGTTTTCCTCTTTGTCTGTGAAAGAACAGAAGAATTAGATCCAAAATACAGCTAATAATAAACGTAATACATGCATGCAGACCTTCTCAGACTCACCGCTCTCCTCGTCCTGTGTATCTACAGTCACCGAGTCTTCGAGGGAGTCGGCGATGCCGGTGCAGATGAGCTGCTGCAGCACGGCTTCAGCGATGGGCATCACCATGGCCGTGGTGGACGTGTTGCTCAGCCACATAGAGAGAAAAACCGTGCAGCACATGAACCCCAAAACCAGCCTACAACACAAACAGAACACATGCAGGTCACAGAGTCCATCTATAACTGTACATGCGTGTTAAACGTGCTGAATACATACATGCCAGGTTTGGCCCCGGCGATCATGACCATCCGCAGAGCGATGCGTTTATGCAGGTTCCACTTCTCAATGGAGGCGGCCAGACAGATGACCCCCATCAGCAGCAGCGTGGTGTCCTTAAAATATTCAGAGGCCACCTGCAAACACACACAGACATTTTAGCATATTTTCTGAAAGTTAGGACAAAACGCCCCTCAAGTAATGTTTATGGAATGTTCTTATAACTTCAATAATATTTGATATACGTTCTCATAACATTCTGAGATCAATATTCTTGGATCGTTCTTATGATGTTATTTGTACTTTATGAACATTCTAAGAAACATATTTGTAACCTTTAAATAAGGTTCTGATCCAATCTGGACATTTTAACATTCCCAGAATATTTAAAAACTTTCAAATAATGTTATATTTTGTGCAAAAATAAAGTTAGTAGAATGTTGTAAAAACATTTTTGTAACCTTTAAACATTTTAACGTTTTTGGAATATTAAAGAAATGTTCAAATAACGTTTATTTTGCGTAAAAATAAACATTAGAATGTTGTAAGAAACATTTTAAATAACATTCTAAACATGACAAGAAAACTGGATATTTTAAAGTTCTTAGAACATTAAAAAATGTTCAATTAACATTATATTTTGTGTAAAAAAAAAGGTATTAGAATGTTGTAAGAAACATTTTTATAACCTTTAAAGAACATTCCAATCACAACAAGAAAATTGGACATTAGAAACATTTCAAAACAAAAGGTTTTCATAACCTAAATTTGTTACCTATGGCTCTTTTATTTTGCGTAAAAATAAACATTAGAATGTTGTAAGAAACATTTTAAATAACATTCTAAACATGACAAGAAAACTGGATATTTTAAAGTTCTTAGAACATTAAAAAATGTTCAATTAACATTATATTTTGTGTAAAAAAAAAAGGTATTAGAATGTTGTAAGAAACATTTTTGTAACCTTTAAAGAACATTCCAATCACAACAAGAAAACTGGACATTAGAAACATTTCAAAACAAAAGGTTTTTATAACCTAAATTTGTTACCTATGGCTCTTACTTGAACTTACAAACATACTTATAAGTACATTACCAGTATGACAGAAAATTCAGTGTTGTTTATAGGGACTCGGAGCTTTTATTGCAATCCCCTCTGACTTATTTTCTGACCTCTGTCCACCATACGCAGTTAAAGCCTTTACTATCACTGATCTAAAGAACTGCAACATCATTTCAACCCTGCAAAAACAATGGCATAAATTAAGCTTTTTTTTTATTCAGGGTTGGTAAGATTTTTTAATGTTTTTCAAGTCTCTTATGCTGCCCAAGGCTGCATTTATTTGATCAAAAAATACAGCAAAAATAGTAAATAATGTGACATATTATTACAATTGAAAATAACAGTTTTCTATTTGAGTATATTTTAAACTGTACATTATATATATATATATATATATATATATATAAAGTCCAACCCAAAATCCATGCAGTCGGCAAAAAAGATTGCATAAAAAGTGGAATATTTGCCCAACATGATTACAGTACTTAAGATAACAGGTTGCTTTGTCAAGTTTGTCAATGGGATTTAGTCACATGATGCAGCATTTTCTTTTACATAATATCTTGGCAGTTTATTGTGGACGTGATAACAGGCTGGTGCAAATGAACGATCAGCAACTCTGAGAGCTGTAAAGCTCACATGCATGATGAAAGAAAAGCACGATGGCATTTTTCACTCTTAAAACATCACCTATAGAAGCCTCATAACCTGACAGAGAGGCTCAAATGCTCATGAATATAACCAAGTCAGACATCTACCCCAGAAAACAGGTCATATATTATATAAACCAGCTCTAGAAGCAATGCAAAGTGTTAAACATTTAACCTACAGTTTTCCAGTTCTTGTTGCACAAATCATTCTGTTGCATTCAATGAAAAGAGCACAGAGAGGTTTTCTTACCTCACTGGATTTGAGGACCCCAAACAGCGGGTACAGGAAGGCCGGGACGAGAGCAGCAGCTCCCAGCGGCACAGCTTCAGATACCCAATATACCGCTGTCACGATCAGGACATACGCACATGATGATTCCTACAGAGACAATCGATTCATCATTATGAACATTGTGTTTTATAATGTGATCTAAACACTGCTTTGATTTTTATTTGATGTTTATGGTTTACCACAGCATGCTTTTTGTACTATTTGTACTGTTTTGTACTATACATCCCAGAAATAGTTAACAAAGCCATTCTAAATTGAGTGTATTATAAACACAGTAAAATCTATTTTAAAGGAAATCATTAGTATTTATGCAGTTGATAAGTAATAAAATCCATTTAAATAAGATAAGATAAATAAGAGCTGATTACATGTACACTCTAAAAAATGCTGGGTTGTTTCAACCCAACTTTGGGTCAAATATGGACTAACCCAACTTTTGGGTTAAAAATTTAATGTAAAAATTTAACCCAATGGCTGGGTTAGTCCATATTTGACCCAAAGTTGGGTTGAAACAACCCAGCATTTTTTAGAGTGTACATATTTGAGAGAAGATTTGTATGCATCTAATATGCTGGAGTAAATAAGTTCTTCAACAAAATTATGAATTTAATTATGAGCAAAACAGCAGGAAAGCATGTGCGTCAGTCCGCAAATCAGCAGAAAAATCCAAATCCAATTGCCCTGCCAAATATTTGGACCTGGACACACAACACTCCAGCAAGCCACAAATAATTAGTGAAATACAAATATGATTTTAGCACATGTGAATCACTTTAAAGTCTGCATGCGGAGCTTAGACTGATAGAACAAACATTTGTCAGGTGACTCATATTTCATAATCAGATTTTATAACAGGCTGAGCAAAGAAAAGTTAATACACGCTCACACATTCCAGACATTATAAATACATCAGGCTAATGAGGAGGAGAAAGCCACTGATCCGTTGCCAGTTTGTGTTTATTGATAGAAATCTTCCTACAGATATTTGTATTTTTCAATTATTAAAGAATTGTCAGCACATATTAAATAAAATAAGCACCCATTTAAATTTTCTGCATATCTGATTTGCTCTTTTAGTGTTATTTCATCATACACAGTAAAATCTTCATTCAGAAATTGCTAATAAATTTCACAAAAAAATACAAAGAAACAAGACTGTAAATGTGAAATTTTGAAGCAGAAAGGCTAAAACGGTATTTTCTTGTAAAATGAACTCCAATAAACGTATAATAATAAATCATTTTTACACTGTATTGCATTGTAACATTTGTTAACATTATTTAACAATATTAGTAAACATGAACGAACAATGAAAAATGCATTTATAAATATTAGTTTACACTAATTCCAACATTTATTAATACTAATTATTAAAATCAAAGGTTTTATCTGCTAATATTATTGAATAGACCTAACATGAACTAACAATGACCAGTTGTTTTTTTAACAAAAAATGTATACTGTAAAAAAATCACTGTAAAAAATATTTTTTGAATAAAACAACGATCATAGGAGTATGTTTTACAAGAAAATATTATTTTAGATTTTCTACTTCAAACTTTCATGTTTAATTCAATGTGTTACTTGCCTTTTCTTAGTAATTATGATATTTGTGCAATTTACTAGCAATTTTAAGTGAAAATTGTTTCTACACCAACTTTTTGTTAGTGCATGTATGGTGATGCATTACTAATGCTGACCTTATTGTAAAGTGTTACCATTTTATCAATCTCAAAACTTCTAATGTGTGACATTAATAAAGTATTATTACGTAAGTTAGCAAGGGTATAATGATTCATGGCTTGTTCCCTATGGGACTTGAACCAGCAAACTTCTGTTTTTGGCCTTTTATGGCCTTTCTTCTGTCCCTCAGCGCTCCTGTCAAACCTGATTATCCCTCAGCGTGCTCCTGTGTTCATAAACTCTGCCCAGCACCTTTCTGCTTTCTCATTACCGCCCAACTGTGCTGAAGGACGTCAGTCTCCATTGGCACATTGTTTTTGTTCTGCTCTAATCTCATCATTGCTCATGAAATCAGTCCATTCCGATCCAGCTGATTTCTGGTAGAAGGTCTGATGGGGCATTGCTGATAAAAGAAACTGATGATTTCCTCTCATTAATCATGAACAGGGTAATCACAGGATTACGCATCAAGCAACTTTATTTGGAAACACACTTAAAATGACACGGTTCTGTTTCAACATCAACAGGAGCCTCTCTGTGGGACTCACACACATCGCATTCATTACATAAATGCATTGTGTGAATAATAGCTTTCAGTTGGCGGGTGAGATGAGATTGAGAAGTGAACTATTGTGAACTAACCCCTTTATTTCTGACTCTTGATGAAAAGTGCTATCAGAGAGAGAGACAAGAGGAAAAGTGATATAAGAGAGAGAGAGAGAGAGAGAGAGAGAGAGAGAGAGAGAGAGAGAGAGAAGAAAACCTGTGCAAGTGATCTAATCTTAAACATGTTTTGGAATGGCAAAAAAAGCTGTCATGGCAGAAGATAATGCCATTTCCTGATCTATAGGCGCTGTTTCCCCATTTGCCTAGATTCACTTTACAGCTGTTTAGATCAATTTGAATCACGTGTCTGATTACATTATAATGTCGCTTTGGATAAAAAACCCAAATGCATAATATCACATTTAAAAAATAAATTTCATTTAATGTGTTACTTGCTATTTCTTTGTAATTATTTGTGAAATTTACTAGCAATTTCTTTCTCTTTTTTTGTGAAGAATTTGGTACTTCAACATTAAGACTGATTTTAGGTTAGGTTATTTATATTTATGTATAAGACAAAGTATATTTCTTAGATCCTGTCACCATTTCATTCATTCATTCATTCATTTTAATAACATTTTAATTAATTTAATTAATAATTTTAAGTTTTTTTGTCATACGATAATTAATATGACATCATAAATTTGTAACTACTACTAAAAAAAAATGTTATGTTTTAGCCTACATATATTATAGTATGTCACACCAGAGGACATTGCAGAAAAAAATATCTATGCTAAATATGCTAAATGTATAAGTGTATTGTAAATGTGATTACTATTATTATTTTTTAATAGAGAATTTTGAGTAAATAATACGTAAAATGAGCACTCATTTAAGTTATTTTTTTTTAATGTGATATTTCATCATACACTGAAAAAAAGGTGTACGATTTACTTTGAAACAATTTTCACTCAGAAATTGCTAGTAGATTTCACAAAAAAATGAAAAGAAACGGCACTATAATTAACAGAATGAATTTAACGTGAAATGTAGAAAATGCCTACAATGTTAAAGCGGTAAAAAAAAAATTTAAAAAAAAGATTCTTTAAGCGGTTAATGCTCCTAATCTCATTTCCCGAAAGAATGAAATACACATGTATGAAAAATCAAATTCACTAAAACGATTTGCAAACAATTTTTGTAAGATTCAAGATGGCGTCTGATCAAATGAACGCAATGCCTCTCTGCAGGCTTTGCTGATGTTGGACTGAATCTAAGCTCCCACTTGCTACACAAACAAACAACATCTGTAAAACCTGCCGGTGTTTCAAACAAACAATTCCCGTCAGAACAGCACACTTGAAGCATCACGGCACCGACGCGCGACATGCTCTGATAGCGCACCTGGAAAACGACCAATCAGGTGAGAGGTCGCGGCGGCTCCTCGAGTAACCCCGAAGACCCAGGAGACCGCAGTCAATGAATAATGATCATAATTATCATGTTTGAGACATTATATAATTTAAACTGTCTGTCTTCCTCTAAAACAGCATTTTATTTGCGTCTACCCACATTTTCCATGTCACTGAAACTGTATATAAAGAATCCTTGCGGAATAAACTAATCAAAATCTACTTAAAACCACACAAAAAGTGATAATGTTTAAATAAAATGCATTTTAAACGCACATACCCAAAAGTAACCAGCGCGTAAAAGCGCGCGGAGAACGAGCGCGTGTGATTGTGGAAATGGCTGAGGATCTACTTACACTGCACGGGTGGATGAGAGGCAGAGGCAGCAGCGATAAAGGAATCATGACCACGAGAATGAGTTTCCGAGCCGTCCATATTTTTTTGATTAAGTCCATTCTGGCACCTTCCAGCCTCATGGGAGAACGCTTTGCTCAATTCAGCTCTCAGAAGTCCAGGGTTCTTCAAATTTTTCTTCAAGACGTTTTCTGTACTCCCCTTTCAGCTTTTTTATAAATTATAACTACTTGTCATTTCCCTTTTCGTGCGTTTCACGCGCTGTGCGTCTCCTCAGAAAAGTTTGCATGGATTGAGAGCGCAACTTTTCTCTTTGGTTCCTGTTTGAATGTGCCTGCATGTGCCTGTAGTCCTTCTAGTCCATCCAGGAGTGATTGCAGACCCTCTTATACCCCTTTCAGGATGTATTGATGATAAGGACACCGATGGCTCTTTTGTGTCTCCACCTGTACATGTGTCTATCTCTGATTCGCCATGCTTTCTTATTTTTTACGCTGTAAAATGGCACCAATTGCGAATACGCATGCATGAGCTGTCCTCTTAATGAACTTATTTTCCATGCGCGTTGTAAAAGCGTCTCCAAGGATGAAGATGAAATGTATGAGTACGCCGTAAAGGTAATTTTACTTTAATCTAACCATATCTCCTCCCAGTTTAAAGCCGGACCAATCAGAGGTGAATGAGTGGAGTTTATGAATGGATGTGGGGTCGCGGGGTTGCGATGCTCATGAGCCAAATTGAACCGTTTACATGCAGCAGCGTCGGTTTCTCAGAATAAACCCAACAGGGAGCAGAAAACATGCTGTTGAGACTGTCAGAAAATAAACCTGCATTAACACGCGCACAAAAGCTCGCATTAAACCCATATGTCATGATTAGTACGCAAATTGTAGCGCACACTTCATGTAAGCAGGCTAGTGCATTACTGTACACGGTTCCAAGTCAATACCCACTCATGCTTTATTATGACTGTTTTCCACATTTTAGCATAATAGTACAATCAACAAAACTATGAAAAAATGTTACACATATCTTCAGCATCCTGACATGATTTTTAAACAGTACTGGAGTTCACGTGTGTGCTGCTCCAACTGATCCATTCAAATCAATCAATCAATCAATCAATCAATCCATAGGCAGATTTCAAGCATTTATGAAAATGCCTTACTATCAAAAGGTTTTAAAGATAATGTGAAATGTAAATTCAGTAAGCTGTGTCCAACTGTAATTCTAATAAAACTATATTATTTTTTTATAATATGTAATTATTATATAATTTAAAATTTTATAATAAAATTCTGAATTATATAAGTATACTAATTATATATATATACACATATACATATTAATTTGATTTGATTTATATATATATATATATATATATATATAATTATAATTAATACAATAAATTATGCTTAACATTTATTATTCATTTACAATCGTTCATTTTAAATATAAATACTATAATAATTTATACATTTTTCTTACCTTTTTTATATTATGCTTAATAATCAGACAAATATCTACCAGTGTCTTCTGCCAGTTTTTAGTCTGTATCATTATTTATAAAGCACCAATTAAAATTAAATTAAACTGAATTACAACATCAGTCTGAATCTTCAATCAGTCCAATACGTTTTCAATTGACCATAATGTGCATAACACGCCACCTAGTGGAAAACAGAGCAATTATTCTAACTGAATTGGCATTTGTCAAGTATAATTAGTTTTAAAGACTGTACTGTGAAGGGCTGTCACAAGAAAATATCTGCAACGTAATGCAGCCAACAAGGAATAAAACCTCTATTCGCCGCTTTTCTGTTGCATAATGTGCTCTAAGTCTTTGTAAATTCTTTCTGAGCGAGAAAACTTAATCTGAGGAAATGCTGTACTAAACCAAAGCTTTGTTTGGTCACAATGGGGGACAGAGCTGTTTGTGTGCTTTTGTTTGATTGACTTCTATTCTCGAGTGTAATCACATTACATGTTCGGCATACGTCTACGCTTAAATCAATGGTCTGCTCTCCATACAGTCAGTAAACGGCGAATACAAGGTTGCATAACCTAATCAATGTTGCCTAAGTTACCTGTAAAGCTCTTTAGGGTTTTAGCAGGGGATGAATGTCAGTAACGCTTAAATCTTCAGTCAGGAGAGCCGCTGCTCCTGCATGAGGCTGTGAAAAGACCATGTTCTCCATGACACAATGCTGAAGATTAAGAGCTGTCCTCCTCTTGGACAGCGTTAAAAGGGTTTGATGGGGTGAGAGGAGCCATTAAGATCAGGTTTATATGGCATGATGTGGGCGAGGATCTCAAAGCATTACAGAGACTTAAAAGACGGGCCGAGGTGTTTGATTAACAATCCGTTATTCATGCTGAAGAAGTCTAACGTTGAGAGAGAAATCTCAGAAAGAGTGTGGGATATTAGGACTGTTTGCTCAAATGAAATGAGAGTCTGATTGTTTCCCTCTCAGCAGAGTCACGGCGAGAGAAAGAGGAGTCTGTCACCAACATCACTGCACAGAGACGTCACTGTCAGCTCTCAACAGAATATTATTAGCTGCTGCGAGCGAGTGAGTGACATGTGCTGCACTAATAGTGCTTATAATCTTTAGTATAATCAATAACAAGAAGGAATGAATGAATAAAGTAGATGAACTGACGCTCTTATAAGACTCAGTGTCGAAATGTGGCTCAGAATGACCTGCATTCACAATCAATCAATCAATCAAATGACTTGAAATGACTAGCACAGTTTTTTGTTATTTCATAGTTTAAAGTTTACTTTACTATTCTTTTTATAAAAATGTGGAAAATATTGATGTATTAGGAAAAACATGATTCAACTGGAATTTTAGTTTGGAGGATTCAATTCACCACAATTATTTAGGACTAAAACTAACTAGTAAATATGCCACCACTTTAAAGCCACAGTCTTGTAATCACGTGGAAGAGAGAGAGAGAGAGATGAGAGGAAGCAGAGCAGTGCATATGTTCATGAGGATGTGTGACTGCATAAACGTGTGTTGCATTACGCAAGCGGCTCATAATCAGCAGTGGAGCTGCAGCAGTGACAAGCGGCTTACGGAGGAGAAACACACAGCAGCGCTGCATGAGAGTCAGAGTAACTCCCTCCACCCCTCTCCCTCCCTCTCTCTCTCGTTCTGTCCCTGAGCGAACAGCCTGCGTTTGGCTGCTGAAGCACAGAAAAGTCTCTGGAGTCGCCAAGGACCAGCGGACATGAGCGACTGACATTCACACTTTCCATCTCATTTTTAACCCCAGACGTCGATGGCTTTGAAGGAGAGCCGCCTCACCTGGGGCTTCCTGCTGTGGTCTGTGACGTGGTGCTCGGCTCGGACTTTTACGCCACATGAAGGGTCTTCGGTCAGTCCCATATTTCATCGGACCACTCCACCTCTGAACAGCTCTGAGGCCCCTAAGAACAATTTCACAGGTGTGTATAACAACAATATTCGGTCATAATGATATAATAACTGCATATCATCATATAGTGCTATGCAAAAATGATCAAATTATAGTGCATGTTTCTAAACAGCATGTTTTGCATAACTTTTTCATAAAGAGCGCACTCAACCTGCAGCATTTACAGTCCGCAAGCATACAAGTTTATTAAAACACATGCACTTATTGTGAAATTCACGTGTTGGCTTTAAAATGCAAAATCTTCTTAAGGGTTTACATACAAACAGAGCTTTCATAATGGCTCAGATAAAACCACCAGTGCGAATCAGATCAGCCTGAACTGCATATAACTCAGTTCATATAGCTCAGATTTTATTATTATTATTTTATTTATTATTATTTTATTTAGTCATTTAGCAGACGCTTTTATCCAAAGCGACTTACAAATGAGGACAACAGAAGCAATCAATTGTAGTATTAAAACAACTAAAAACAGATCCAAAACTAAAGAACAACTACATATGTGTATGTACAGCCACACACATATACATATACATGTACATATATATATATATATAAATACATTCAGTATATATATATTATTTCATTTCCATTTTGTATGTTGAAGTACTGAAATAACTCAAATTAAATAAAACTAAAACTTAATAAAAAAACCTATATATAATAAAAAAAACTAATAAAATGACAACATTACTACAACTGTAACTAAAACTAAAATAGATAACTAATACAAATCAAACTACACATACATAATAAATACATTATAAAATGTTTAAAACAATCTATTCTGGGGGCCACGCATTACGATTGGAGAACATATAAAATATGCAAGCCATGCATACTTTGAGCGTACTTTGCTAATAGTTTATTGATGTTTCCTGACCTAAAGTCAATATGCATGACAGATTTGTGGATCTCTGACATTATCAAGCTAATACTTGAGTTTGATTGCATTATAATGAATCTGTGAAGGAAAAGACAGCATGCACAGGTGTCAGTTACCTTGAGGTTTATTGCACAGGTGAAACAAAGGATGCTTTTTGCCACGTGGTAATGGCGGGCAGTGGGATAGTTGGCAGTTTGTCAGTTCCGTTACAGGGTTACCAGCTTTGAAACTGAAATGGAGGGGGTTTTATCGCCACCGTGGCCATGACAGAATTTGCCCTGCTTTCAGTGCACGGCAAACCTGAAGGAGTTTGAAGTGGATCTGTCCTGGATAAGAACATGCACGGGTCAGATTTCATCCTAAAATCAAAAGAAAGGAATAAGAAATTAAATTCTGCTTAAATGGAGATATATTTGGTTTAAAGAAGAAGGTTAAGGACATTAAGATTTTTGCACTGTGGCATTTTTTTTCTATGATAATTTATCACAATTAGCCCCAAAATTCTTATTGTCAATGCAAAAAAAGAGAAAAAAGAAAAAAGTCTAATTACTGTAAAAAAAATTTATTATATATTATTTAATTTGTCATTTTTATGCATGTTGTTTTTTCTTGTACTACCTTCAATTTAATTTATAAAATAGTACTACATTTTTGTAATGCATTATAGTAAAATAATTGCATTACAGAATATACGTAAAAATATATTATGCAAAAATCTCATCCTCATGTGAAAAAATAAATAAATCATTATTACTAATAATATATAATGTACATTGTATGTACTGTAAATTATTTATAAACCATGATAGTAATTGTTATGCCTTTAATTTATCTTGATTTTAAATTAAAATAATAATAACAATAATAAAAATAATTGTATTTTTTACCAAATTACAGTAATGGGAATTTAATAATCACTGTTATATAAAGAACATAAAATTCCAAAAACATCCAAGCACATTACAGTAATAAGAATTTTTTGGGGAAAAGATTTAATTGCTATGATAATAATGCAGATAATCCATAATGCAGGGTTATTATTGTTAATTTAAGTTGATATACTAAAATAATTCAAACTAAAACTG